ACATTTTATTCCTAGAGAAAGGTTTAGTTTTGTTCTTAGTCACCTGAAGACTATCTGTTCCTTCAGAGCCTGGAAATGATCTCAACAACACAGTTAAAAATTTTTAAACTCTTTTTCTGGCATCCATATTCAGAGAAAGCATTTACCATCAGAAGTTATATCCAAAGAGTCTGGCAGCAGGTCTATTCAAACTCGTCCATGTTGGGATTCACGTCTGGCTACGCTGACACAGCCAAACTCCTCTCTTGGCCGGCTTGTTCTTCCACCGTTTGAATAATTCAGCCCTACGTCTCAGCCAGGAAGCTCTCACTGTGTCTGGGAACAACATCCACAAAGACCCACCACCTCACACTGTGCTCCTCAGAGGGGTTAGAGCAGGTCGTCACTGTGCACTGTCCGGGAGTGCTGCTGCCACACCGGCTATGAGCACAGGACCAGCCAGGAGAGCGGGAAGAGGAGAGGGCTGCGGTGTCGGTCCTGGGGCCGCCACCTCCCCATCAGCCATGGTGCACAGTGGACCAGTCACTTAACCCCTGTGGACCTCACTTTCCTTATCTGTAAGGTGACAGGGTTAGACCGGTGACCTCTGGGGTCCCTGACAGACCTCAGGGAAAATGCACAGAGCGCAAATTTGATTCCTACAGAATGATCAATGAAATTCCCGTTGATCCCTCTATGACTGTGTTTCCTTCTCTCAGGACGTAAGAGTAAAGGACTCACGAGGAGTAACTGTTGCTGAAACAGGACACGAAGACCAGCCCACTGCACACAGATCTGTCTTCACCTACAGCACAGTGTTACCTTCTCATCCTCGGCCCTTGCTCCTGCCTGACACCCGGGCCCAGGAGAGAGAGAGAATCCTGTTTACACCAGCTTCCGGTCCATTCCGTTTCAGTGCAGTATTTACAGATGCTACAGATGTAGGAAGCAGTGGCTAATAAGACAGATAGGTAAATAAAATAAGGCAAATATTTTAAAGGTCACCCATTTGGAGATAAGAAGTAGTACAAGGAAAAAAATGTATCCATTCAGAATCAGAATAATCATCCCTGGGCTCCTCCTGCCGTCCCTACAGGGAAAACGGAGCCCAGACAACAGCTGGGACGTGCCGCCCACACCCACACCCCCCAATGTCTACTCTCACGTCCCGCCTCTCTTCTTCCCCTCCCCCAACACCACTGTCTGGCAAAGGATTTCCACGTCAAAAAGTGAGTAACAACGAAGCTTATTAAGGCTGCTCCCTTAGTATTTGCCCTCAACACTAACGAACAGGCTGTTATCCAAAATCAATCTGTCGGGGATTGGGAGTGGGGGGTGGTCCACAATACCCAAAACATCATGTTTTGCATGTTGGCTTTTATGTGGCAATTCACTACCAGCTTGGGTTAAAAACCCAATAACCTGAGATAAACTGAAGCAAAGGAATACTAGTGATGTGCAATACATAAGGCCTACCTTTTTCAACTTAACGCCCAGGTTCTCCACTCTGTGGGCACTCCTAAATGCTGAGCCTGCTGGGCAACCAAGACCCACAGGCCTACAGTTAAAACTGCAAGGCTTTTGTTTTCAGGAGGATTTGTCCACTCCTTAGATGATTAGCCCAGGTGGGGTCCAGTCAGAAAAGGGAAATCAATCTAGGTATTTCATACACAGGGATTCAACTTCACAAGTGATGGAGGACAAGAGAAGCCACACAGGGGAAGGGAGGCAAATATTCCCCCAGTAGAAGCCCCACCCTCCTGCAGGCTGGGAGGACAAAGGGAGGAGATGGTGTGACTGCAGAGGCCCAGAGCTGGCTCCACCCAGCAGGAGCTGGGACCGGAGGGAGGGGCTGAGAGGCTGCCTTGGGCGGGGGAGGGGGAGGGAGCCATGCCCTGGGAGATGCAGGGGAGACGAGTGTGGTGAACGGAGCTGAGAGAAAACAGACAAGTGACCGTCACGCGGACCCAATAAAGTCTGAAGGTGGCCCCTTCCCTGAGGAGCTGTACAGCATCAGTGGCCAGGTACCATTCAGAAAACAGGGTGCTGTCCCCCCAGCGAACATCTTAACTCTGTTCTTCCTGTAGTTTCCTGCATGATAATGCCCACCGCTTTCACGCATCTTCCTTTCGTTATCATGGAACCCCACCGCTTTCACTCCTTTGTTATCATGGAGACCTCTCGCAGCCTCACTAGGTTTCATTTAATGGGCAGAATCTCCAAGAAGAGCATGATTTCCGTGGCACACTTGGCTGCCATGGACCCCTGTGCCAGGCGGGCTGAGCTGACCGAGGGAGGAAGCTGGCTGCAAGGCGCAGCCCGGCCTTGGGACCACTCGTGGAAGGAAAGGAGCCTGCTAGAGACGGCGACCATCACCCTGCTCCTGGCCTTGCAGCCTGGACGGTGCACAGCAGTGAGGGCAGCCCGCCCCGGGGTCGGGGGTGGACACCCCAAGTGACATAACACCATGTCCCACCACCACAATTGGGGATGGCTTCACCCCAGTTGTCCGTAACATGAGCAGGGTGACTCAGGGTGAAGAGGAGTTGTTTCTAAATAATAACTTGTACTAGGAGTTGAACCTGAACAGTGATCACCCTAAGAAACTGTCAGCAATGACTGAAACAGTCATCCCCGCGACAGTGAGCTGGAACAGACCAAACAGGAGACTCGTGTGCCCGCCTGGAAAATGAGTTTGAGAAGGTCTACAGAAAAAGTCCTTGCATAGTGAGCAACGACTCATGGTAACAACAAGGAAAAGCTTCGCGGGAGAAAGACAACAGGAACTCAGGCAGCGGGCTTAGACAGCCACGTGAGAATTCAGAGCAGAAGCCATCGATCAGCTGATACCCTGCTGAGGTCAGAAATACCCAGAGAACTGGGATGCAAAGGAGGTTTTCAGGGATAAGTAGCAAACAAGCTGAGAAACACAGGTCTACGTTTTCCGTCAGGGATTCCACACAAACTCCCCAACGTAACCTCTGCTTCTCCTTGAGCCAAGGTCGCCATCCCGGGTCAGCTATGGGAACTGTGGGCCAGGACAGGGCGGGCTTGTGTGTGAAGTGGGGGGCACACTTGTGAATGGAGCTGTGTGTTTAATAAAGTCTTCTGAAATTTGGAATTGCTGCCCATCAGTGATTTACCGTTAAGCACTTCTCCCTGGGATCTTGCACTTCTAAAAACACTATTTGCTTTTTATTTAACACTGAGCCTTTTGATGTTCTAGAATACAAAAATAGTATCTTATTATTTTAAAAGCTTAAGAGAGAAACTAGCCATATTATTAGAAAAAGAAGATATATGCAGGTATAGTCTGTTCAAATATCAAGAGGTGTGACTTTTCAAATTCACATTTCAATCTTTATTTACATAAGACTTTTAGAAGTAGTGGGTGTAAATATTAAATCACCCAAGCTTGGGTGAAATTTTATTGAGAATAACTACAAATAAAGGGAAACTGATTTTTTAAAGTCACTTTCTGAAATTTAGATGAAAAGAATATCGAGCATTAACAAAAAAATGATATATTTACATATCAATATAGGTTTTCTGTGCGCAGATTCATCTCCTAGGAAACATACAGAGGCAAGCTTGGGGAATTACAAAGGAAGGAAAACCCTAATCAAATAGGTACTGTTGTTCAAACAGAACATTAGCTTAAATGATCCAATCAGCTGCTTGGGCCAAATTTTTTTTTCTTTAAGCCCTTCGTGCCAGAAGACGACCTCTCAGAGCATGAAGAACCCACATTACGTTCCAACTGTTTGCCCAGCAGATGGGGGATTTGAAAGATACATTCCATGGAAATGGGATAAGAATAAGGAAGGTCCTGGTTAGTCACCAGCATCAATGCAATCTACCCATAATGGGGTCGCACTGTTTACTCGAAATCCAGGGCATGTTTGGCAGTTACAGTGAATCAACCGAAATACAGTAAGTTCAAGTTGCTGGATCTTTGATTTCACCATTGTTCAGGATTACACCACAAAACGCAATACAACCTGCGGAAAGTTCCCGGAAGATAGAGGACAAAAAGTAGAGAAGCACATTGGGGCAGGTCTGCCACCAACCTTTGTCTTCATATTTGTCTGATGACGTCACAGAGTCAGAGGTTCGCATGGGCGATAACTGACACAGTTCTAGGCCTCAGTTTAAAACAGAGTCATTGCCTCTCACTATAAAACAAGTTGCCTGCAATGCAGCACGTGAAGACTATAGTTTACTGACTCAGTCTTTTGCTTATCAAAAACAGCAATGTGTTTCTCTAAAGATCTTTAGGGGGCAATCCTGAAAATACTCAGACACACACACACACACAGACACTCCTGCTTTCTATGTGGAAATTAAACACAATTCTATCTTACTGCAATATGAAGACCGCAAATTTAAAATTAAAAAAACAAAAACAAAAACCAAGAATTACAGCGGTTTCAAACCTATTAACTTGTTTTTAGAACAAGTTCAGAATTAGTAACAAGGGTATCATGATGTTAACGCACACTTTACGATTTTCTGCCCAGCACAGGAGACTGAGAATCTGACTCTGGTCACGTTAAGACCTCCCTTTACTTTGAATTAATGGTGTGAATACTGTGTTTCTCCATCTGAAATCTGTGGTTTGTGTGAAGTTTATGCAAACATGAAAGAAAAGCTTAAAGAGGGAAAAGAGAAAAAACAACGTTGATTCCTATTTGGATAAGTAAATGAGGTTAGGACTTTTCTCTAAGATGTACTCAAATAACCTCTATTTTAACCATATCCAGAGACCTGTTCCCTTCCCTGAACCCTGTGTTTTAGAAAGAACTTAAAATGTATATTCAATTTCTATTTCCAGTCTGAAGCTGGAAACAAATTAGTTTGCAGCCGGGTAGAATGCTAAGAAAAGCTTATCTGCACCTTTTTATTTACATCCCTCATTCCTTAGAAACGTATCTGCTGTTTTTATGAACTTTGTTTTATGGATCTAATATTTAAGGCCAAGTCTATCTTTTATGTCACAGCAAGAAGGTTAATGTACTTACAGACTCCCCCGCAATGCATCTTGGGCAAGGCTGGGCCCAGCTCTTTCCACCGTCCTGAGGAACCTATTTAACAAATCACAGCGGCAGGTGAATCAGAACGGTGGTTATTTACACTTTTCATTAGACATTTAAAGGCTGGTTTGGTGGGAGCAGAAACCTACCCCCACGCTTGGTCGCCCCTGGCCACCGTCTGGCCTCGGTGCAGGGAGGTGGCCTCTGGGCTGGGCATCTGATGACTCGGGCTCCTTGCTGCCCCAGGATGTGGGCACGCGCACCTTCACCTGGGGGCAGCCCCACTCCTGCGCTGCTGCTTCTAATCTCCTGCATGCCCGTTTCTGCAACAAACAAAATCTCACTTGAGATGGCCTCGTAAAGCACACGACACTCTAATTGAATTTGCTTTCTGAGAACCTCAGCTGCAAAGACAGACCCCTGTGGAGCTGGGAAAGTTTATAGGACATTTGAGGAGATGACTTTAAACTTTATCTTTCGGGAATAAACACCATCAATTACACTTAACCTCATTATTTCTAGCATTGTCTGATATTTACTTAGCTTTACGGATTTAAAATAGTCATTTTAAACAATTTTGGCTGAAACTCTTGTAATAAACTATTGTGACTGGTTTACTGATATTGAAAATGTACAAAACCTATAAATTTTGTTCAAGAAACTGGCTATACGCTTCCATACATTTTGCCTGGTATCAAGGCAAATACTTTCTTAATACAATATGAATAATTCACATGTGGATAATTCTTTGTCTTACTGACACTGAAGAGTAAACTAATTTTATTTATTTCAAAAGTTGCACACACAGCCCATAACTGATAACCTTTGGGAAAGTCAGCATTTGGCTTTTGCTTCTCCATGAACTAAAGATGAATTACAAAAGCAACCCTCCAATGCTAAAGGAAAACGGTTCACTCTCTAAGTGCGAAGACTGTGTACTTTGCAGGGTAACGATGTTTTCAGTGACACAGAGCTGAGGGTCAGGAGGTCCACCCCTTGCCAGTGCCAGCATTCCATCCTGGGTCCCTGGGCCAGAGGGCGGCCCCGCTGGTGGACAGCTCCCACCTGAGTCAGAAAGCACCCTAGCACACGGGCGGCCTGCACACCCTCTTCAGTCACTGGCAAACCATCGTCATGACTGGGGCCAAATCTGTTCATTATCTGTCCTATTATTCATTTATGGTTTTCTAAATTGACTTTTTTTTACTTAATGGATTTATCTAATATATTGATAGAAACCTCCTATCATGGGTTTAGAGTGCCAGGGTTACTCTTCCCTAACATGCCTTAAAACAGATACCTGAGGATGAAAATGGAAAACGTTGACATCTGAGCCCCTTAAACCATTGAGAATAATGTCCTGGGGTAAATAAAGTGTGGAATCCATGCGGCTGAGACAAGGGCAGAGGCAGTCACCCCTCTCCCTACAGTTCTTCCTGAACACCAGGAAATACAGAAAGGTCACAGTCACTTCTGCACTGAACCACACCCTGGGCACAACCTGAAATCAGAGAACACTGACATCTGAGAATACGGCCAGTGAGAAAGAAAAGCCACCAAACCCCAGTGCGGGGTCCCCTCTACTCCAGCCCACACCCCCAGCGTGGCTCCATGCTGAGCAAGGGCAGAAGCTATGAGCTGGACGGAGCGGGGACGCCAGTGAGGGTGTGAGTGATCTGCCCCCGGAAAGCCCACCCAGACACGGCAGCTCGGGGGGAGCCTGAGCCCTGGAGCACAGACTCTGGGCAGGGCCTCCAAAGTCCACACCGTGGAAACAGACGCCATTTAAAGAGGCTCTCCTCCAAACTCACAGGTCCTGAGAGGGAAACAGGCAAATGAGTTGGGGGAGTGCCCCTTGGGTGCTGGGTGGTGAGAAGGAGAAAGAGGGGAAGTTAGGGTCCTGCAAGCCACGAGGACCATAATACCAGGAGCCTCACACCCTCCCCTGTCCATCACCAAAACAGACAGACAGACACCTGCTATACCTGGACTCAGCCAAATTAACAGAAGAACTGCCATTAGACCAGCAATCTTTACAAAACACGCATTAACATAAAAATCCCTCCTGAAAAACAACCAGGAATCAAAAGAAGATTGTAATTCAAACAGTCTAAAAACATACTTAAACGCTCAAACAAACATTTGAAGATATGAAAAACCACCTTGAATTAGAAATGTAAAAACAGAAAGGGACAAAAGCAGGCAGAAACCAGGAGAGACTTGAATGAGTTCAGGAAAGTAATGGAAGGAAAAAGCACAATTATCTCAGAAATGAGGAATAAATTATAAAATGCAATAAGGAGAATAAATTCAAGTGAAAATAAAGGGCACTAAAGAAGGACAGGAGCACAACCAAGAGAAGGAAAAGAACATAAAGGGGAAAAAAAGAGTAGGAAAGGAAGCAGTGGAAATGGAAGACAAAGAAGGAATAGTGTTCATAAATCAGAGTTCCGAAAAGAGGAAAACAAAATAATGGAGCAAAGCTAATGTTTAAAACTGTAACCTAAGAAAACTTCCCCAAAACAAAAAAAATGACTGAATCTTAAAATGAAAAGGCTCACAGGGCACCTGGGAAAATTAACCCAGAATGATCAACGCTGAGATATATCCTAATAAAACTAGGAGATTTCAAAGATAAAGATAAAATCCTCAAGGCCCCTGGGCATGCAGATCAATGAAAGTGCAAAGGAACTGGACTGGCATCAGGTTTTTCAAAACCAACATACAAGTAAGATGACAATGGAGAAACATTCTTTTCAATCTCAAGGAAAGAAAATATGAAATAAGAATTTTAAATCCAGCAAGCTGTCCTTCAAATATCAAGATTACAGAAAAAGAGTTTCAACATACAAGAATTTAGAGAATACCACACCCATCAGCCCTTCCTGAGGATTCTACGTGAAGGTAAGCTTTATCTCACCAAGCGATGACTGGGAAAATTCCAGCATAAGGATTTTTTGTAAGCATTTGAAAGTATTTAGATGTACATCTAAGACTAAATTTAAAATAAAGGTGGGACTAGGTCGAAAGACTAATGTGCAAATATTAAATACTCTGACAAAGCAGAAATAATTCAACTAAAATATGAGAGACGAAGGGGGAGGGAAAGAGGAAAAATTCTGACTGTGGGGGCTTCCCTGGTGGCTCAGTGGTTGGGAGTCCGCCTGCCGATGCAGGGGACACGGGTTTGTGCCCGGTCTGGGAAGATCCCACATGCCGCGGAGCGGCTGGGCCCGTGAGCCATGGCCGCTGAGCCAGCGCGTCCGGAGCCTGTGCTCCGCAACGAGAGAGGCCACAACAGTGAGAGGCCCACATACCACAAAAAAAAAAAAAGAAAAAAAAAAGTCACTACGAGAAATTCTGACTGTGTATAGGCCAATACTGTATAAGTGACAGGAGCATATTAAACAATACTAGGAAAAAATTGATAAATCAGACAGTAAAGAGTTAAATGATAAAACTGATTACTAAGGACATTAAAATAGGTTTAAATATAAAACTAATCACTAGAAAATACAAATCCTCCTAAATTCAAAATAAAAAATCTCAATAAAAAAGCAAAGAATACAGATTGCATAAAGAAATAGCAAATATAAGAAAATATACATAATTATGGAATATTATGATAGAGTTGCACGCAAATAAATCAGTCATGTCAAATGTTAATGAGCTTAACTCACCTATTTTTACAGAAAGGTTTTAAATTTGGTTCACAAAACAAGACCCAATTATATGCTGTATACAAGAGGCACACCTAAAATAAAATGATTTTGAAAGGCTAAAAATAAAAAGAATGGACAAACATATACCGGCAAATGAAAACAGAAAGAAGGAATAGACCAAGTAGATTTCAAGCCACAAAGCATTAAATACAACAGAGGACATATTTAATGCTAAAAGCCATAGTTCACAGTGAAGACTTAATGCTCATGAACATCTATGCACCAAACAATATAACCACCACCTTTACGAAGCAAAGACAATACAGAGATACAAGGAGACAAAATCATGCTAATCATAGGAGACTTAATACACCATCCTCAGTACAAGGCAGAGCAAGGGTTCCAAAAAGTAAGAAGAAGACAGAAGATCTAAATGGCGTTCTCAATCAAGGTAGATCTTACGGCTATGTACTGAACTTCATACCCTGATAACACAGAATCACATTCTTCTCAAGAACCTACAAGGAAAACACTACCTATCAGAATCTATGCAATGGATTTAAAGCAGTTATCAGAGAAAACTTCATTATACTAACATGTTACCAATAAAAATGAAAGAATAAAATTAATAAATTAATAAAACCTCAGCTCATAAAAACTAGGAAAAGAACAACACAGTAACCCAAAAGAAAACACAAGGAAGGAAATAATGGAGGGAAAAGCTGATTAATGAAGTAGAGGGTTTTTTTCCATCGAAAAACAGTAGATGTAAATCCTGGGGAGTTGGGGGTGGGGAGAGAGGAATTAACAAAACAGACAATCCACTGGCTAACTTAACCAAGAAAAAAAGGGGAAAAAGCACAAATACAGAAAATAAGAAATGACACAGGGAAATAAAATGAAACACAAGAAATTTTAAAACTCATAAGAGACTATTTTGTAGATTTCTATACAAATGAATTTGAAAATGTAGACAAAATGGATAACTTCCTAAGAAAATTCAGATGACAAAACCTGACCCCATCAGAGATAGGAAACTTAAACAGATGACTGCCATAGAGAAAAAACCAGAAAGGGTTATGAGCAAGTACCCCACAAGAAGCACCAGGACCAGCCAGTTCCACAGGGGAATTCCACTAAACTTTCAAAGATCAGATCATTCCAGTGCACTACACAGAAATTATTCCAGAGCACCGACAAGGAAGGAAACTTTCCAACTCCTTTTATGAAGCATGTATAACTCTGATAAATCAGATAAACAGAACAAAGAAAGAAAACTGCAGACCAGTATCACTTATGAATTTCAATGCAAAAATATTACATAAAATATTAACAAATAGAATTAAATATCACATTAGGCAATCACATATCATGACCAAGTAGGATATTTTTCTAGAAATGAAAGTTGGGTTCAGTATTAGGAAATCCATTAATATCATTCACTGTATTAATAAAGCTAAGGAAAAAATAATATTATCTCCATGGATGCTGAAAAATCCTTTGACAAAATTAAAACCCATTTATAAAAACTAAAGAAAATAGGAATTGAGTGTTATATTCTTAACATGGAAAAATATACATAGCTTAATCCTAAAGCCAGTATCTTATTTATTGTAAAAAGACTAGCAGCATTTCCACTAAGATCAGGAACAAAGCAAGAA